GCAATTGTCCATGCATACCTAAGCCAAGAAATAAATGTAATTATACATGAAAATCGATCAAAATTCAAATGATCAAAAATAAATTTTTGAATGTACAAAAGCTTTGACTCTCACCCTGGAAACCAACTATGCAGTGTGGAAGGTCGTCCAATCAGGTTGAGGTTGTTGGCCTTGTAGACTGTAAGCGTCTCGTGAACATAACCATGTGGATTCACATATGCTGCCATTGGCCCATACAGAGATAGACTAAAAACAGAGAAGTGCTGAATGAGTATTTGTTTTCATTTCAATCTTAAAAGGAAAGATCACCCAAAAATGTTTTAAGTCTTTCATCATTTACTCTTGGCTTAAGTCGCTTAAACCTCCCAGTTCACTATAATTGTCAAATCTGAGAGCTACAATGAAGGGATATGATGACTTGATGTAAACTTTGTTCTTTTTCCTCAAATAAAGCTATCATATGATTTTAGAAGACTTGGAAATGGAAGTAGCAACAGACATTTGTTTCCACATTGTGATGTACATTCGAGTAAAATGGATTATCGAGGAAGAAAAAGTGTAGGGTGAGGACTTGGGTTCTATCCATCGGCTGTCGATTAAGCTTGTAGTCGATTATAAGAAAGTCTGTTACTGTATAAAATTGAGTTAAAAATGTTTATATGCATGAATGAATTGTTCACAATAAGATCAACAACATGCATTTAGAAAATAAGATGGGGTGAATTTTTATTTCCTGTTGCTTTATTTTCTTCATTGGAGCTTGACACACTTTGGTGCCTTGAATCACCATCCATTTGTATGACATGAGGGTGAATAAATGATGATAGAATGTAATTTTTTTGTGATCACATAAAAATGAAAATTTCTTTCATTATTTACTCGCCCTCAAGAGTTTTTGTGGTGAACACAAAAGAAGATATATTGAAGAATGTGAGTCCCCATTGACTTCCATAGTATTTTTTCCATACTATTGAAGTCAACGAGGACCAACAACTGTTTGGTTACCCACATTCTTCATAACATCTTATTCTGTGTTCAGCAGAAGATAAAAACTCATACAGGTTTGAGTAAATGATAACAGACTTTGCATTTTTGGTTGAACTGTCCTTTTAATATTTTAAGTGTGACTAAATTCTCAGTGTTTTTAAAGTTATTGTCTGACCTGAAGATCTCATTCTTGCTAGTTATCTCTGTATCCTGGCACTGTTTACAGCAGAGAGAGGTGCACTGTAAGGAAACGAAGTGCAAACATTTTTTTTTAGCTTTTTTCACAATATTACAATGCATAAAACAAACTCCTGGACAAAAAGAGAGACTTACATAAACATGTATAGACAGAGGCAACCATACACATACACACCCTGTCCATGATGTCCAACTCACAACGCAGTCTCTGGATGGCACTGCCAATCTTCAGTAGCTGCAGTCGCAGAGCATCATCTATTGGTAGACATGCGGCCACCCTGTATGAGAAATCTGCAGGGAGAGAGACACTCTCTAACTACTTGACTGTGTGTGTGTGAGCCTGAGAGCATCTGTGTGCCTGAACCCAGTGTGTACCTGTGGGATTCGTAGGCAGGGACTCGTCTTTGAGGTTTTCATCCCATTCATGGAGTTGTTTCTTTACTCTGCTCATGAGAGTTTTCTAGAGAGAAACACATACACAAGCATCAGTGCTAAAATGTTGTCACTGTTATTATAAAAATGCTGATGATTTTTTTCAATTATACATTTTCAGAAACATTTGTCAAAAGTACTGTTCATTTCTAAGTGGAAAAAAAAGAAATCACACCTTTAAGGCTTACTATGCAAAATTAGCATTTTACAAATTTATAAAGTAAAATGTATAATATAATAAAATGAATAATAAGAGATCAAACTCACAGAGTCATATAAGGCATACACCCAAGGAGGCCATGAGGTCATACTAGCACAATGAATCTTCTTCTGTGAAAGAAAGTGAGAAAATGAGAGCATATTACATATTAAGCAAAATGTATGTTACTTATGACTTACAAGGATGACTCAACATTTTAAAAGTTAATATGTTTTGCAATGGCAAAACAATACAAAAGCAAAATAACTGTGATTCCAGAATGTTTAAGAACTGTGTGTTCTTTAATAAAAACAATAGTTAATGAGTAGGAAAATCATTTACATCAGTTACCTGTCTACAGATCTGGCTGCACCGGTCCTGCGGTGATGTTGTTTGTGAGTGTTTGAGCTGTGGTGTGTGTGTATGTAAGCGGGGCAGGAATTGCAGTGCACATAAAGGGTCTGGCAGAATCCTCTCAGGTAAAATCTGTACTTTTGCCTGACGAATCCTGCAAAAACAAAAATGTGTGCGTATGGCAGTGTCTCGTTCACATTCCATTCCTGAATTCAATGAAAAATAGCATGGTGGTTTATTACTACAGTACATTTTGTGGACGGCACATTGTAGTACCTAGTGAAAGCATGTGTATAGCCCTACCCATCTGCTTGTGTGCGTATTTCATGCACTCTGAAGCGCTGGCGTCCAACAGCTTTGATCTTCACTGTCTCTATGCCGTACTCCTGTTCTTCTCGAAAAGCATAGATCTCTGCAGTCGTCCCAAACTCTGCTTTTATCTCCACTCCACTCGCATCAGGACTGGGAGAGATAGAAACACGTCAAATTGCAAAGTGCATGTAGAAATGTAAGAAATATAAATACACCTGCAAACCCTCCACTGCAACCTGCTTGGATAATGTTCTTGAAGAAGAATCAAAGGTATGTGATCATTAATGTGTAGTAGTTATTATTCTGCACCTTGTGTCTGTTGATACCTGTGTGCAAGCACTGCAAACGTGCGGTCTTGGCTTATGAGGTTGCGGAACATGCTGACCTCCTGTGGTCGGAAAAGCTGCAAGGGTAGCGTCTGACCTGGGATCAGAATGAGTGTGACGTGGGGAAGAACTGGCAGATTCTGCACACTGTCCTCATCATGCAGGGTACGGCCGTGAAACTCCTCCATGTCTGAGCCCAGATACTTCACAACATACACACAAACGTAGACAAACATGCAAAAAGAGATTGCGATTATATATAGCAATACTTTGACCATCAGCTACTTGCATATTATGTGCATGCTAATGAATTCAAAATGTATCAATAAGGTGCTACATACTTAAAATGATTTTAAACATATTAGCCTCAGGTCAGGTCACATGACTGGTGTTTAAATTAGTGCTGTCAAAATAATTAATCGCGATTAATCGCATCCAAAATAAAAGTTTTTGTTTACATAATATATGTGCGTGTACTGTGTATGTTTATTATGTATATATAAAGACACACATACAGCATATTTTTTGAAAATATTTACATGTATTTACGTGTATATATTTATATTCATATAAATTATATATAAATATATTTAATATATAAATGTAACACATTTTTCTTAAATATATACAGGCATGTGTGTGTATTTTATTTATATATACATAATAAATATATACAGTACACACACATATATTATGTAAACAAAAACTTATTTTGGATGCGATTAATCACATTTAATCATTTGACAGCACTAGTTTAAATGTACTGTTGACAGATGACACTCACAGCGTGTGAAGTTGGCAGACTCGTGTCAAAGTTTATCATACTTGGCTTTTCTGCATCCTCACCATCTCGATCCTCAGTCTCCATGTCATCCTCTTCTTCCTCTTCATTGTCTGTAGAAAAACAGAAAGATTAGAGCTAGAATATAATTTCACTTATCCCAATAAACATCACATCATGTTTATTCATTTAGGACAGAAGAGAACTGGTCCCCCAAACTGAGTCTGGTTTCTCCCAAGGTTTTTTTCCCTCCATCCGTCACCTCATGGAGTTTGGGTTCCTTTCCATCCTGTCTTTGACTTGATTAATTGGGGTCTAATAGACACTTAATACTCAATAATATATTATCGATTTGACAGAACTGACACTATTGGATGACAACAAAATTTCAACTAATTCATGAATTTTGCAACATCAACACTGGTATTAAACTGAATTTAATTCCTTATTAATACTATGAAGCTGCTTTGAATCGATCTCTATTGTATAAAACACTATAAAAAATAAAGGTGACTTCACTTGACTTATTATTTACTGTATTCCCTTTTAGTATTCACTTTCACTTTGTCAACTACATCTACATTTACAACCTATTTCAATTTACTTTCGATTTTAATCATACAGAGTCATTTGAGGAAAACCGGGCATGCATAAAGCCATTAATAAGCAAAGTGCAAGCAAATATCTCATCTGGATAAATAACACAATGATTATAATAACGAATGTCTGTTGACAATACAATAAAACAACAAAATGCGTGCACGCTTCACTCAACAATGTTGTTGCAGCTATTAAGGCTACAGCAACGAAACGTGTTGCAGAATATCGTTACTAATTAAGTGTTTTACATAACAGGTGTACGCAGACACTTGAAGTTTGTAGAGAAGCCCCCTTGTCAGCTGCGGATCTGGATCTGTCAGTAAAGATCTCCCTGCATGTTCTGAGGAGGACATTAAGCTGGCATGCTTTTGATACTACTATATACTCCGTGTTTATTAGGAAACTAGCAGGCATACGTACCTGGCAGGAGTTGTAGTTGGTTGCCCATTTCGTCGTTATGGTTGTTGTCACCTCCGCCCCTCTCAGCAGCCATAGCCGTGTGTTTACAATCCGCTCTCAACAAGCGCAGCACTACCGTGAAGAGATATGTGGGGAAAAACACACAGCGCCCTCATGTGAGTGGATGTCAGTGCTCCAGTGATTTTGACTCATTCTAGTGAATCGAATCTTTTTAATAAATTCACTAAAAATATCCATTTAGTTGCGTTTTCAACAGATCAAACCATTATACCAGTAGGTGGCGACAAGTTGTGTGGGTTAGAGAATCGTTTAATCAAACTAATTCATTACAGGTAAACCAAGGAAATCTTCTTGTTATGCTAAAGTAAAATTTCGAGGCTCTAGAAGGAGCTTATTCCTCCACAAAGTGAACTTCTGAACACAAGAACGAAACGAGATGCCGCCTTGCTCGTTTATTTCGTGAACAAATCTTTTTTTTTTTCGAACAAATCTTTTAAGTGAACGAATCGTCGTGCACGAAATAAACGAGCAAGTCGGCATTTTTTTCGTGAAAAGAATCGTGTTCGTTAGCAGGTACGATACCGTATCGAAACGTTGAGTTTGCATAATTGTTTGTTTGTTAATCGCAATTAGACTTATTTCTTTTGGGAGTGCTGGGTGTATTACTATCATACTTTGGTAAGTCTGCTGATATTTATGAATTACTTTCTTTCTTTATGAAACCTTGTAAGCTCCAAAGTGCCATTTGTATTGAAATTATGTAAATCAAGCATCATTTCTCGTTTTAATAAAACGCACTACAATTCTAGCAAAACCTACAAATAAAATAAAATAAAATATACACCATATAAAATAGTAAATGTAGGATTTGCTGTTCAAAACAAGCCTTTTTTAGACTTTGGTTTTCAAACATAGTGGAACATATCCATAGTTAATGTGATGAACTACACCTGTGGTTGCTCTGCTAGGACACCTGTGTGAACTTGAGTGGATTGATTAAAAAAAAGTGAAAAGTGTTTGTGCACATAAATGTGCAAGTAAATAAATGTGACATTACTCATAAAGATAACTTAATAATTGTTTTTTTGTTTTCTAGTACGTTCACTTTGCATTTAAATGTTTTGAAAAGTGTATATTTATGTACTGGTTTGTTTATTATTCTCATTTGCTTCTCAGGTGGATGATGGCTACAGCAGAGCATTTATGCATAGTACTTCTGTTATGTGTGTGTGCCTGTACTTGTTTGAGTGACTATTACTCACTGCTTGGAGTTTCTCGCTCTGCATCTTCAAGAGAGATCAAGAAAGCATTTCACAGGCTGGCCCTTAAACACCATCCTGATAAAAACCAAAGTCCTAATGCACAGCAGATCTTCACACACATTGCTCAAGGTGTGTGTTTGGATGTAAAAGTATAAAAAAAATATTTACTATATTACTGAAGTATTTCATGATTAATTTTGTTAAATTTTTCCTCCAGCTTATGAGGTACTATCTGACAGAGAGAAGAGACGAGTCTATGATCAAATGGACCACTTAACTAACCCTGATCAGGCCAGGGAGGGAAAGTTCAAGAAAGATGAAAAAGAGGATATGGACAGCAATCCCTTTGTCGATAAAGGGACATTTCATAGTAAAAGGGGTTTCCAGCATTTTAGTTTAGAGGAGCTGCTTCATTCACTGCGGATGGATGATGACTTCTTTATGGGCGAGCAACCTGGTTATGAAGGATGGAGTTTTATTTTTGGGCCTGAGGATGATGATGATGAAACGGTCCTCCTCAGTGATCTTTTCAACATGCTTTAATGTCAAGGGTTTGTGTATCTTGACCACATTAAGTTAATATATTTATTAATTACATAAATTTAAATAGCTTTTAAAGTGCTTTGCATATTTATCTTGCTGCTATATTTATTAAATAAAACTTCAATTTAAACAAAAAAATCTCTGCATAATTGTCATATTATTCTATAGAGAATGCCCTTTTAATCTTAAGTGATGTTTATGTTTTTAATTGAATAATTTTAAGAACATTCATTTCCAAAGATAGCAAGCTTCGGTGAGTCACCAACATAAGTAAGTTAATAAAGATTATATCCCACTCTTTTCAATCAATGTTACAGTTCATAGAAATTGATATGGATTTTAACACAGAGCTTTACCTTTACCTACTGCAAATAACTATATGTTAAGACACTAATTCTTTTTCTGAAATTATGAACCATAAATGTTAAAATCCCATTCCTTATTTGTTTACAGTTGATATTTCCTTGTGTCAGTTCCTCAACTCTTCTTACTGGTTGGACTGTTTAGAAACGCCTCACAATATTGAGCAAAAGTAAGTTGCTTAGAAATGTGTTTTCATTGCTGCTATGAGCTGCTACGAATTCTCCAGTCAGAGCTGATGCATTAGCTAAAATATAATATGATATCCTGCTTCAACACATCATCGTTGATTGGTAAACACATTCACATTTGCAGTGAAAATTGAACACACACACACTGATGTATGATCAAAAGGACTGAAGCTCAGATAACAGAATCCTTGATAAATGTTCAACCTACTTTATCATGCTCAGCATTTCCTGCTTGAACTGGAAAGGGTGGAGTGTTCAGGGTGTTTTTCCCTTCTTTGTTCAAACGATGAACAGTGATTTTGTGTCAGTGTGTTTGTCTCCACTTTGTGTGTGTGTGTATGTGTCTGTACTGAACATTTGTCTACAGCAGGTTTACTGACTGCTTACTTAGCCTGATGACTACAAACCTGGGTGAGTCAGACACTGCAGATCCTCTGTGTGCCAGTGAGATAAACCACCTCCCTTGATTTATTTTTTATTTTTTTGGACTGCGAATGAAGGAGCCAGAATTACACATTCAGGTTATGACTAACTACAACACTTTCAGGGTGCTGAGCCTAAGTGTGGTGAATATGAATCAAGGATAAGAAAATATTAATGTTTATGTAGGTAGTGAGTGTAGAGGAGAAGAGGATATCATTAATCTTTTCCACCTTTGTTCAGTAGCCATTGTTTATCCAAAAGCAGCATCCTGGAGATCTGAATATTATATTTTAGAAGAAATGAAAGGTGTGAAAATTAGAAATTTGACACTACGGAGACACTATGTATGATGTGATCCAGTGTATTGTGTACACTTTCTTTTTTTTATTCTAGTTCATCACAAGTTTGTGACAGTGATTTGCTAAAATCTGGAAGAAATAAAAAGGAAAACATTTCTGAATCCCATTCATGCTGCAATAAAGACGCAAACAGATAAACAGTCTAATACAGAATGACTTCTCATAATATTCCCATCTAAATACACACATTTCTGCACTCAGTACCCAGGATATTACTAAAAAATCAGTCATTTTAGAAACAAGATGGACACCTGTTTACGATCTATAGCAAATAACATTACATCCAATAAAATAAGTATTAAGTTAAAGTTATGTTTAAGTCTTATTTTTGAAGTAGGTTGTTTACCTCTTTCATTGTACTTTTCTCCCGGAGAATTGAATGTTCATACTAACCCAGACTAAACTCAGGCTAAAGACTTTTGAGGAAGGAAGCATATTTCTGTAGAGCTGTTGGGAAAAGGTCATGGCCTTATTTAAGCCTATAGAAATGGCTTCCTACTATTAATCATAAATGTAAAAATAACAGTTGCAGATTTTACTCCTGGATCCACTCATTGGTCACTTCACAAGTTGCAGTTGAAGTTAACATCAACAAACAAATGATGCTAGACCTTTGGTCAATGCTACAGTAGCTTTGCTTTACTTAGCCATTTTTTGCATTTACAAACACACTGGCATCTGAACTATGGTTTTAACCCGTGATCTTGACATTAGTATGAGAGATTTACATTGAAAGATATTCTGTAATCCCGATGCTGTTTTTCTGCATTCACATGCAGATAATAGATGATGTCAAAATCAGATTAATGCTTGTGTGTGTGTGTGTATCAGTGCATTACGGATTAGTTATGCTTAGTATGACTTTTTTAAATTGTCACTAGGGACAAGTTCATAGAAAATGAAATATTAGAACATAGTATATTCTGCTCTTTGGATGTCTGTTGTTGAGGAAGGTTATGCAGGATAAGAGAGCTATTTCCTGTAAAGCAAACCTCTGAAGGCCATACTCCCTCAAATAGCTTTGAACAAAGTCCAGTTTCTATTTTTAATATTTATTTTAAATATGTATTATATTTGTTATATATTGTGTGAGATACAGGCTAGGAACAATCTGTCAGATCTGCGTGTTAGATCGGTGTGCTCCTGAACGTGGCCAAATTTATACATATAGGCCTACTCTATATATATAAATTTAAAAAAAAAATGAAATTTTGTCTTGATTTAAAAACTCCTGTTTTTGCTTTTTGTCCTGACGCCCTTTCCTCAGGAAGTCAAAGCAAAAAGTGTGTGTGTGTGTGTGTGTGTTTGCGCGCGCTCGTCCTCGTGCTGAGCGCCTGCTCTCCTGTACTGCAGTTATATCGCAAGATGAAGTAGGAAAATGCAGTAGTTGGTATATAATCTCATGTTATTACGATTTCATCGTGCTCAAATGAATTTGACCTGTCATTGCCGTGTCTCAGATACCAGATGATGTTCTACGATGAGCGCAGGTGAGTTTTTAACGTGATAATGTGGTAACGAAAACCAAGTATGATACATTTAACGTTATTTAGGAAAAGAGAAATAAGTGTCTGTGGGAATTTTAAATGTCTGAAAGTATGTGAAATAATATCGAGTTTAGAGTTGCATGAAATAGTATCGAGTTTAGAGTTGCGTACTTTTCGATATTTTAGTGCGCATTTAGTTTAGTTTTTTTTTTCTCGAGAATTCCACTTTGTTATTGTAATGTGATTACATTGATTAGATTATTTAAATATTTGTAAAGATTCTGTTTGCGCCTCATGTAGAACATATTATAGTGTTATTTGCTTAACCAAAATGTCAGCACTGTTTTGAGCGTAACATTAATATTTTTCTTATGATAATAGCCTATTTCTTAAGCTATATGGGCACTTTTGGCACTGGCTGTGGACCTAACATAGTTTATACGTAATATTTTTTCTGAAGACATTAACAATACAATTTCCACCATAGTAAGCTGTTTGAAACATCCTGTAGTGAAAATTACAATATGTATTGTAAACATACAATACATACAATAGCCTATTTAAATGGTGTATTTCACTTTGTGTAGATCATAATTTTTATGATGGATTTAGTTTAGCATTTAAAGTTTAGGTCTGTGACAAAGGTAAAATTATAAAAATACATGTTTAAAAGGCAAAAAAGTACATATAAATATTGAATATGCAGTTAAAAAGTGTAGAGTGTTTACTGTGACCTTAGAAAAAGCAAAACGTTTAAATCTGTCAAGTTAATGAAAATTAATCTCTTTTCAAACACCTTATAAATGTTTATAGAATTGTGCGTGTATCATATATAATATCTAAAGTCTGATTTTTATTGTAAATTTCTATTCTATTTTTTTATATTCTATATTTTGTGCATAGCTGCAGTCTGTTTCATTCAACTGTAACATAAAATATTAACCCATAAATCACCCTGAAAAACAATTTTCATTCAGAAATTGCAATAAATTTCACAAACAATTACATTGAATAATACACAAAAATTTGAAATGCGGAAACAGAAATAGTATTTACATTTTCCAGCAATCTTCAAGGAAATAATAATTTTTACAGTGAGGATGGAACTATTTTTGATGCCCCGAATTACTACAATGTTCACAATGCTACTCTCCAGCAAAAACTATTTTTGTAAATATTAATATTTTCTTATTGGGTTTCAGGAGCATTTCCTGGGCCCCAGAGGACACTTCCAGGCTGAGCCTCTCTTAAAGGGGCAATATCAACCACCTATTTCTGAATAATTCTATGATAATCAAGAACCCAAACCAAAAATTTAATCCAAACCAAGAAAATATCTCCAGCATCATCTCAGTTCAAACATGTACTTCAATATGCTTCACACTAACAAAAGCCGAAGGCCTCCAAACTCAAGAGCGCTTATGACGGAAATGCATGGAAAAATGGTTCTGGAACAGGAGGGGTCACAAGAGAGGAAGACAGAGAAAATAATACATATAGAAAAGACAATGCAAGCAGAAGAGATAGAACCAGATGTTATTGTGGAACAGGGAGATGAGTTAGGATGTGGGGATGAGTTAGCACAGGGAATTGATTTAGATTTGGTGGAGGGTTTAGAAGAAGGTGAAACATTTAAGTCTGAGGATGAGGAAGAGTTGATGGACCTTCTCTCTGATTCCTGCAGTAAGAGAGACGTGGATGATTATATAGAGACCGATCAGATTGAAGTAGAGGACACTGGGAAGATAGAATGGAGACTGACTAAAAATGGTGTATCAACATCACATAAAAGCTCTAGTGATGTTCAGTCGGCTTCTAATGCAGTTTATGGATGCATTGCACACACAGACAGATTCCTGTATGATGAAATTTGTATCAATAAAACTTTCATTGAAGCATTTTACCCAAATGGCATAGTCCCAGGCAGAATGTTTTCAAGTGAAGAAGACATAGATGGGATGTTCCCCGATATTTGTGATGCAGGCGAGGCGTTAGCAGACAAAGATGGACTTTCCGAGTGTGACCTTTTTGAACAAACAGAACCTCTCCAAATAACAGAAGCAGAGGACAACGCCAATGGAGATATTATGATGTTTACTTTGGAGGAGGGATTGAACGGCTCTGATTTGTCTTCAACTTCCATTGAGGAAGAGGATGATGAAATACAGTTAGAAAAAGAGCAAATGGAAGAAAAAGGAAACCATTATTTATCAGACGACAGTCCATCT